TTTTTTTTTACAAAACTTTTAGCTGTTTACTATTACAGTCATATTTTGGGGGAGGTGAGGTTGTAGGATATTTCCCCTTTTTAATTACAAAGGAAACAGCAGGCACTGAAAACCGGAAATGATGTTTGCAAGATTAAAAAAATGTGCTTTCCAGTGACACCGCTTTTAGGAGCTTGTTTCAAACTAGATACAGTGGCAACCAAATAAAATCAGCAAAAGTCCTCTAATGCTACTAGTGAGACATTTGCTTCCTATTCTCACCTCCTGCCTTCGCTCAACCAGTGCCTGGAGAGAATCAGCCACCCACAGTCATTCAGTGGCGCTACCAGACACCGAACACGCAGAGTGCGTCCTCCTGAGGTAAAAACTCCCTCCTACACCAAGCGGGCCGTGGCATCTCAGAGAACAGTTGCACGTGGGTGACGTTTCACACCAACCGAAATACGTCATCTCAAAACGAAACCGAAGGAACACAGAAATCGCCATGATTTTAAAGATGCCACACCCATTCCCTTTGTGGCGCTTCTCATCAGGACCGACAGCCCCAAGCAAACGTGGATCCAACAGCGATAAATTTACCATCAAATACAAGTGACAGACCCATCTAAATTTTACGCTGTGTTCAACATAAGACATCCTACAAAAAAGCTCCTATTTTCTTCCAATGCTGTTAACAGCTACGGCACAAGAAATTGTTAATCATCATCAATGCAAAACTGGTACATTTAAAATGTAAAAGCTCCTTCCTGCAATCTTTGAGGACACAAAAATGAAAAGCCAGCCAACTCCATTTCTCAGCACAGATTTCTGAACCAGGGACGCTGAAACCTTCAATAAGCTGCTTTTCAATGTGTGGAAATAAAAACAGAGCCATTACAGAATTCAGAAGGCAGAAGCATTGTACACCAGGTTATAATGGTAATGTCGCACTGTGATGGATATAGCTTACTCTAAAAGCAGATTATACAGCTTGCATCAATTTTGTCACCCACCCTCCAGTTCATTTGACCAGCGTTTAGTAGTTTTTGTTCTGCATTTTCTCCCTTCACTGAAATCCAATAAACCCACTCATCATTCCTGCACTTTTTCTGTGGAAACAATAAAGAAAACCTACACATTTTTCAAAGAACTTGAAAAAATGTTAGATTCACAGCTCAAAAGAAATCTCCCAAAACAAAACAAAAAAAAACCCGAGCCCCAAACCAGAAAAGTGTTACTATCTTCATGGCTACACCTATGGTATTATTTCAAATACTCTGCAGTTTCACTGGTGAAGCAGTCGTCTTTGCTACCACACGACCTTCACCTCTCATCCCTGGCACCATCCACACCCCGGAGTCACCTACGAACGCCGCCAGCTCGAAGCCTGGATTCTCTTTTCTTGCCTTCTTGCAGGAGAGGGAGGGAGGGGGAGGTGGTGGCTGTTTCTGGTGGGAATGTAACCGAGTTCAAAAGCAAACTGTCTGGCTGTAAGGCATGGTGCTCCGCGTTGGCAACGGCCGTCAGTTGTGTTTTCTCCCCGCATCCTCCCAGAATCTGCAGCCTGGTCAGTGATGCAGCGCCCTCCAAATCTGAATGGCAGTGGTGACTGATGAGATCCTCTGTGTCGATTCAATGTTTGTTTCTCCCCCTCAATTAAAAAAAATGTGGTTGGACTCTAGCCCTGCAAAATAAAGTCGAAACTGGTTAATTCCAGCAAGTAACACAACCTTGGTGATCTCCATCACCCAGTGGTAGGACAGTGACTGGAAATGCCAACCTATCCCCAACACAGGGGTTCCTTGAAGGGCAGGACTGTGAGGAAACAAGCTCAGACATCATTCCTCAAAGCCTGTAACCCCCCCCGGCCCCCGTCAGCCTTGGCTGCTCAGAGGATTGAGGCATGTGGGCACTACACATGTTTATCCCTGCCCTCTGGCTGGGCCAAAAAGGCTGACCACAGTGCCGACCAGCCGTGGGAAGCCGTCGGTGCCAGGGCCTGCTCCGAGGCTGCGCGGAGTAGGCGGCAGTGTTGAAAGACTGCCCTGGGCAGGTGCTTCCAGCCCGGGAACAGAGACAATCTGTAAACACTTAGCACACTTACTAGACTCTGAAATGAAGGAGGAGGGGGGGAAAAATAATCCAACGCCACACCCCAAAAACATACAAGAGTTCTCTCCCACCAATGGAAGCGTTTTCCATGTAGAATTACGGGAGCGAATGATGCTTTGGAATTCAGGCCTTAAAGGCCTATTGTCCACTCTGTGGGAAAGTTGCCCAGTGCCTTCACAACAGCCACTAAGATTTTCCTTTAGACATAGCCAGGGGCACAAAACCCGCTGTTCGAAACATGGCACCACACGTGACGAGGTGCCAGGAGGTGTAAGGGCTGGAGGGCTGTCTAGCAAGACAGCAGGAGACAGATTAGCAGTTGCAGGAGCAAGGAAAGGCCAGTGACATTACGGAGGAACTTGGCACGTGGTGAAGGCAGAGAACTAGAAAGCGACAAAAAGGCACCTCTCCCTAGCGACAGAGGGAAGAAAAAGGAATTGAGAAGTGGGAGTTGTGGGTCAATGTTTACTGTGTAACCCAAACCATCTTCCTTCCAAAGCAACTTGTGTACAGCCAGCAGCCATCCTGCAGGTGGGCACGGCTGCGTCATTCATGGGAACCTCAGGGGACATCCATAAATAGTGAAGGATATGCTTTTCCTTAAGTCTCAGGCTAATCCTTATAATGAGCACAGAGGGGAAAAAACCAGTTGGAAGCAGAACACACTATTCAAATTCATTCCCATGGCTTAGCAGCAAAGATCTCTCACATTTCAGCTGACAACCAATCATTTGCAATACTAATTTTCTGTCTGGTTATTTGACAGGTTATTTTTTAATCACACAGTGCTGTTTGATTGCATTTCATTAAGGATACACTGAATAATATAAACAGCACTTCTTTTTTTCAAATGCATTTTCATTTGTGTGAAAGGACCCAGTTAGCAGTTAGCCTTGACTTCCACAGCCATACAGATCATGCATGACACAAGTTAATCACTAGCACCAATTACCATTAAAAAGACCTACCATGCATGCAAATTAGACCCAGGAGTCAACAGGCTGGGGTTTAATGTCACCGGCATCCACCAGATTCACCGAAGCCCTGTTACTCCTGTTAATGTTTTTCCTATTTGTGTCATTCTGCAGCACAGGGTGAGGAGTTAAAGGCAAAACAGAGCGGATTAATCAAACAAAACCACCAAACAAGTCAGCTTAAAGGAGCACAAGGAAAATTAGTGGTAGAGAAAGAAACAAGGTCAGCAAAGACACAATACTGGCAAAAGCACCTGCAACAGCAAAAAGGCTGCACTCCCTGCCATCATTAGTTGCAATTCTGGTCCACTCTTGAGCCTCAGAGCCACGGTTACCAGACAGTTCCCAAGTCAGAAGACCCCACAGACAGATTTCTGTCTCACAGCACAGGGAGAAGGATAAGTAGCAGCTACTCAGCTCTGCCCACCTAAGGGCACAGCAGTGCACACCTCTGAGGTGTACAGCAGGGTGAATTCAGGCCACACTCTGTCCTTAAAACCAATGGGAAGCACCCACTACGGGCGACACATTGTTGGGGTTAAATGTCTTTTTTGCTCATCAAAGCAAAGTAGCTACTCATAGAATCATAGAATGGTTTGGGTTGGAAGGGACCTTAAAGATCATCTAGTTCCAACCCCCCTGCCATGGGCAGGGACACCTTCCACTAGACCAGGTTGCTCCAAGCCTCATCCAGCCTGGCCCTGGACACTTCCAGGGATGGGGCATCCACAGCTTCTCTGGGCAACCTGTCACAGTGCTTCACCACCCTCTCCAGGAAGAATTTCTTCCTGATATCTGATCTAAACCTCCCCACTTTCAATTTAACCCCATTCCCCCTTGTCCTGTCACTACAGGCCCTTGTAAAAAGTCCCCCCCAGCTTTCTTGTAGCCCCTTCAGGCACTGGAAGGAGCTCTAAGGTCTCCCCGGAGCCTTCTCTTCTCCAGGCTGAACAAGCCCACCTCTCTCAGCCTGTCCCCAAGGCAGAGGGGCTCCAGCCCTCTGATCATCTTCGTGGCCTCCTCTGGACCCACTCCAACTGGTCTATATCCTTCTGATATTGAGGGTTCCACAGCTGGACGCAGCACTCCAGGCGGGGTCTCACAAGAGCAGAGCAGAGGGGGAGAATCCCCTCCCTCGACTTGCTGGCCACACTTCTGATACTCACCGAACTCTGGGTGGTGCTTCAGACATACACTGGAGTTTGGGCTGCTTGATGTGATTCTGAGGGTTGTATCAAACCACTTTAATGACTTTTGAGCGGCAAAAACCACAGGCATTGGTTAATTTTTCTGCCTTATCTTATTTTCCATAGAAAGCCATTTTCTGTCAAGCTGCTATTGATCAACATTCGCATGTCACCTGGTGCATCCATTCCTCCTGCAGCCTCGCAAAACGTATCAGAACTGTGGCGAGGGAAGAAGGCGGTTCATTTAGTTGATATTGGTTGAGGCAGGGCCAGCTCTTGCCACGCCGGAGCAGGGGCACAGGCTGCATGAACTGACTCAGCTGTATCCATTCCAAAATCAAGTGAAGGAGCACAACCACCTCTACCAAAAAGCCCAGCCCTGCTGCCTTCCAGAGGGCACAGCTACATCCAGCACTGGCAGATTGAAAAGGGTGATCTGTGCTTAAACAGTCCAGCTGGATTGAAGCCATTCCCCAGGGTAGACCTTCACAAAAAGGCAGGGCAGCAGGAAGTGCAGGACCAGGCAGGTTAATACCGGCAAACTGATGCAGCAGGACACATTCCTAATTCATGACCTATGGAAAGATTTTTCTCCCAATCACATTTTTATTCCCCTTGTTCAGTAACAGTGGGTTTTCCTTTCAACTGACTGAAGTTTAATTGTTTCCACTGAACATGAATCCCCTGGATTTTCTCATACTATCAGCAATGTGCTGAAGGTTATGAAGAACAGCCTTCTGCAGGCTAACAACAGTTTCCTACTACTGACTCTGTTTTCACTGAATCTTCCTCTTCCTCCCTTGCCTCCTTGGAATTATGTCCCCAGGGGAAGACACAAGTTCTGAGGCCAAGCAGACTGATGGTCACAGCACTTAGTGACTTCTTAAAAGGCCCACTGAAAAGGTGTAGCAATGCAACAGAAATTACACAGAGCCCACTGCGCCACATTTGCACACAACCCACAATACAAAAAGCTTGGTGAAGGGTTTTTTTTAAACTCAGAAAGCTGTCTAAATTTGTTTCTGGAAGGCACATGCATAACTCCATGTGTCTCCTTCCTTCCATCTCCTTGGCCCATGCCCATAGTCCAGCACCAGGAGTGCAAACAAGTGCGGTGGAAATGAAGACCGTCGCCACGGTGCTGTACGGACACACAAGCTCACACCTGCTTCTCGCCGTGAAACCATAAAGCAGCGTGACAGTCTGAAGTGACCATCCTCAGATCAAAGCCCAAGCACACACAGCTAGGGATGAGGGTGACAGAACACTTCCTATTTTTACCACCTCATCCATTCCCAAGAATACGGCGATTGCCTGCATTTGCTCCTAGGCTGGCAAGCAGCGTTTTGTTTTTATTTCTAGTTGGCCAAGTGCCAAGTTACAAAATGGTGCCTTTATCTCAAAAAAAGCCCTTTACAGCCCCCTGGCGAGTCACTGCCCTGTACTTCTTGCTGAGGATACCAGGCTTCCTTTCTTAAAGGCACTAACTAGCCTTCAGCAGTAAGAGGAAGCTCACTTTTAAAGGTTCTTTCTCCGAGGCATCCCCTGTGTTATCACTGGTCTTGTATTTGCGCTCTTTGTCCCGGTGATCGATGGTGGAGTACCCATCTGAGGAGAAATAACATGACAGTCAGGCATGAAGCACAAATAAGAGCAGAAACAGAGCTGATGCAAGCAGAATTCTTCAGCAAAGAAACAGGAAAATAAACCACCAACCCAAAGACGCTGGGAGCCAGCTTTTCACATGCACTCCTGCGCTGAAATTTCATTTTTACCAGCTTAAAACAAAACAGAAAAGCCCTCTTTTTATGTCACTGCCAGGTGCTGGCACTCATTAGCAAGCAGCACTGTTTTCATCCCAGCCTGCTGCACTTTTCAGTGCGCCCAAGGAAAGCAGCAAGTTGTCATCTTGCGCCCTGTGGCTAATGAGCTCCAAATTCAGCCCAAAACTTGTACTCCTTGCTTAGCAGCCTGATAAATTGGCTGTGTTCATTCTCTGAATGCTCTGCATGTTCCCACTGTTCCTGAGCCTGACTACTAGCAGGACACGACAATAATTTGGAAGAGTCTCCCCTTCAGAGCACTGAGAAAGCGGGGCTGTCAAGTTGGAAGGAATCGTGATGCACACCCTGCAGTGCCTGGGCTTTCATCTCCGGGTGGCACCTGTTGGTGCTTTTTCCCCCGACTAGTAAGAAACAACACGAAAGCGTGATGAACACAAGGAAAAGTGGGCGAGGGTTTTATTAAAAAAAGGCTCTAATTATTTCCGAACCTTTGCTGCGAATCGTTGTCAGCCAATGCAAATCCTAATTTATTTTCCTGATGCATCAGCTTTCCCTCGTTACCAGTGACAAATAGATCCTCTCCCGCTCTGCTCTGCCAGGACTGTAACATGGCGTAAACGACACTCAAATTTATAGCTCCCTGTAGGCTTTTGTTTTCCCCAATATAACTGAGGGATCATTAACGTTTCCATGTCCTGACAAACTGGGTTCTTTGAATGCCACGAAAAGGTTTTACATGAACTACCAAAACGCTCCTCTCCTGGTTTATTACCTGCCCGCAACAGGTCACAAAGAAAAAGTCAGTCATCGTTTTTTGTGGGCTTCCCATGGCATAAAGGGGCACTGTTTGCCCATGTGACAAAAGCACATGCAGCTAGGGTGACCTGTACCGAACAGTCGCAGACCCCTGAATGATGTACAGGCTGCCCACAGCCAGGTTAGGCTCAAAAAAAGCTGTATTTTCCCTGTGCATCTCAGAAGCACACCCAGCCCTGCAACAAGCACCTGAAGTAGCGTGTATTTATGGCATTGTGGATAGCAGCAGATTATTTAATCACACTGCCTAAAAATAACGAAAGGATTTTGGAGCTATACATGTGCTACACAGATCTTAAAGCACAAAAATAATTGCTACACTGAGCTTTACTTACAATTACTTGTTGACAATGAACATGCCCAACATTCTTGGCTATTCCTTTCAAACATAAAAGAACAACACTAAGGCCTACCAGCTGCACCCAGCCAGCATTTGTGGAGGAACGCGTGACCAGTAATTCTCTTTCAAATGACAGGCATGAGTACTGCTAGGAAGTCGTATCCTAATCTAAAGGTTCATCATTTATTCAGGAGTAAACAGCTCACACAGGTGTATATTTAAATGATGGAAGCATGTTTACTCCCCCCCAAAAAAATCAAACTCAAAACAGTCGAGTGGTAGCTTTTTATAATCTATTAATTATACTCACAAAGATGTAACGGATCACTCTGCATTTTTGTAGTGCCATCATCATGGATGATCCACAAGTATTTTTAACTGAATTGCCAAGATACAAAGGAAACCTTTAACCCACACCCAGAAAGCAACAGCTACTAAGTGAAGTATGGCAGCTGTGATACTTCCCAGGGAGCAGGGTCAACAGTAAGGACTGTAACCACAAAAAATTAAAAGCACAACAGATCTTTAATGCTGCTATAAAAATTAACACCCCCCCCAACACACACTTAGCCAGGGCAGCAGCAACAGGGAGATCAAGCTTTTGCACGTCTGTCAACCAAGAACAGTCAAGAACTTCATATTCTTCCTAAGTTCCAACATGTTTTGCAAGTCATGCTGCCAGCCCACCGTTGTGTGGTCTGCATGCTAACGGCGCCGCGCACATCGGCACTAATGGATTATGTGTTTCTAAAACCCACACGCTGTGCTATGACTCCGTCAAGATAAGCAGCAGCAGAGATAGGCAGCTCATGATTTGACCTAATAAAATGAGAAATATCTTGAAGGAAGCTGCATCAGAGAAGTAATACCTCAGTGCCCCAAGGATCACAGCTCTTGAAAGGCATCAGAAAGCACTGCTGCTCCTAGGTTTCAGATTCGTTCTAAAAAGTGATCAGAACTAACTGTTTCTGTGGCATAAAGGAGGCCTGCACAGACCTTGCAGCTCCGAGGTATAAGTGCGTTATTCTGAGTTAATACAATCCAACGTACAGACAGAAGATATACTGGTCGATAGGAGCATGTCCCATTCTTGCCTTGTTTATTCCTCTCTCAACTTTCTGTTTTCAGCTCCAGAATACAACAGACCACAGTGAAGTCAGAAATCAGAAAACACAATCTAGAGCAGCTCTTCGTGTAAGTATGCCCATCAGACAAAAAACAGGGGGCATTTGGAAGAGCCTGAAAGAAAGAGATGCACACAGATATTATTCTAGTTCCTTGGAATTAAGAATAGTGAACTGGATAAATTAATCCAGTCTCTTCTCAGCTGACCTCTGAAAAAGCACAGAGTTTTGTAGTTGTGTTGGGAGTTAAAAAGCAGCCGAGTTGGGGTCAGGAAAACTTGATAGGTTTCATCTTCTCATAGCAATAAAGAGAACAGAATGACCCAGAAACTCCGCCTGATGCTGTACATAGGCTGTTAATTTGCATTTCATTTTGTACTCAGAGCTGTACCAGTAACTCCTGAAAGCATAAGGCAACAATTAATATCGAGGCCATAAACAATCAGCACTGCCCAGTCTGCAGCACCTGCCAGCACACGGCCATCCTGCCCGGCCACCTTTCCCGAGGATGCTTCCTTCCGTTGGGAGAACAAGCGTTTCAGGGTTCCCTTCGGCAAAATACACAAGGGCAGGTGATTCATGGCAGGTGGCATCTCATTTTTCTAAGAATACGCAGGGTAATATATAACTGCTATTTTAACTTCTGAGCGTGCCTGGCTTTCAGCTGTGGTTCTAACTTGCTATTTTTGTTCAGCACAATCACAAAGAGCACTTTATCAAACTCTTTCATCTGGAGGCATTAATATAGGTATTTAAATAAAAAAAACATCAACTGGAAGTAGTAAATTCCCAAGAGACCACAGAGCACCTTTATCCACCTCAGTCACGAGAAACCACCTCTACACGTCTTCCACTACAGAGCGTATCAATCTCGAAGCACTCCACTGACAGCAGGTGGCTGTTCTCCGTCTACGGGAACAGCCGAGCTCAGCTAGACACAAGTGAATGAAAAGTGGAGCCAGGAATATCATACACACTAACTTACTTCTGGTGTTCCCTACAGAAAACACAGGCAGAACAGATTCAAACACGGGCATTACACTGAAGTAAATTTTCAGCTCCTTTTTCCTTCTGAATCCCCAGACTTCCTGATCTGTAGTGGGGGATGCAACCTCCAGGGCCAGAGACCGGAACGAAAGCCAGACCAGTCTATCTCCAGTATATGCTCGATGCAGTGGAGAGGTTGGTGTGCACACACTACGTGTATTTAAAAGATGAAAAAAAGACGGGGGGAGGAGGGAAGACACTGACCAATCTTTTGTAAGGTAATGTTCTGTTTTTAAATGTCAGCTTTATCCATCTGAAATAATATCTCCTGGAGAAACAGCTGAACTTTGCGGTGAGTGACAGTGTGCTCTATTGAAACGGACAGAGTTTGATCTATGACGGAGTTTACCTGGGCCAAGTTCATCCATAGGTATCATATCACGACTCCCAGCCTTCTCGTTATCTATAAAAGAGAAACATTGAAACGACTTGCGTTACGTCCGCTTTTCTCAAAACCTGGTAGTTTTAAATTAGTCACAGGACCAGAGAGATCCATAAAGTACTGAATGCAGAGACTATTCTAAAAAACCCCAAACTATTCAACCGTTACCCATTCAGAAAGGGAAGTTGGATTTAAGCTCTCCAGAGAGCTCATGTAATCCTTACATTTTCTGCTCTGGCACTGTAATGCACAACTCCCTCTCTCCAAGGGATAACAGAAACAGCAATTCTGCCTCGTGCTACCTACTGCTATTAACAAGCTCCTCTCTCTGCTCTCCAGAACAGAGGAGAAAGGAAGTAAGGGTGCAGCTTCCCGTGGCACACAATCCAACCAAGCGGCCTGCTGAGCCAACAGAAAACTAACCCACAAGGAAAACAGAGTTTGTTGTCAGAGCAGCAACCCGACCCAAGTCATCCTCTGCCCGCATAACCTGCCAGGTTTGATCAAAGACAGGAAGGTGGAAACGGGCAGGGCAGCATGGGGCTGTCTTTTCTGGGGTAATCTGCAGTTCAACCAGGTGAAGTGCAACATGGCAAACTGTGGCGGGAGACTAAAGGTTTCTGAAAAGGAATTGAGAAGTCTGAGCGCTGGAAACTAGAACGAGATTCAGAGACAAAGCCATCGCCGTGGAACGAAAGCTGGAGCTAACCAGTGTTGGTGTGGCTCCATCAGGCCTCACAGAAAAGCACTGACAGGTTGCGGCAGGGTTTGGATAAACCCATCTCCTGAAAACAAGGGCACATTAGAGGAAGAAGCAGTGCCGAAACAGGCGTGTTTATTTAGAAAGGAACAGACTCCAGTGCTGAGCAGGGGTACGGCCAAGCCCACCGCCTGGCTGAAGGCGAGATTTGACAAGACACTGTCAAACAAGGCTGTTCTCCTCTTTCCAAGTGCCACTCCAAACTCTCCCAGGAAGATTCAACTGATTATGCTGTGCACAAGCTGAGAAAACATCCGTAGTGTACGCTTCACAAGGGAAGGAATAGTATCCATATCCAGCTAATTGATCATTTTGGGACCGTGGAGTGAAAACCACCAGACAAATAACACACTTTTACCCCTTCCCCCCGCCGGTAACACAGATGCAGCAAACCCAGAAATTAAACAAGCAAAGCACAACAGAAAAAGCGATGAAGAGCAGAACTGACCTTGACTTTTATCCACCAGAGGCAAAGTGCTGTCGTCATAGCCAGACCTGCCAGCAGCGCCTTTGGAACCCTTTGGAGTTGCCGAAACAGACTAGGAGACAGAAATCACATAAATACGAAATTGCTACTTGGGGAAGTTGAACAAGAAAATAAACAAACCAACAGTACGGAGACATTACGGTGTGCTGCTAAGCCCCCTTCTGTTGGCAATAAGGCACTGGAATATTTTTATTTTCATACAGATTTGGTGGTGGAATTTTATTCCTGTTATCTAAATGGCAGCATTGTTGGCCTTCCAGAGAGCTGGCCTGGAAAAGGAGCAAAACCTCTTCCCAAGGGAAGATGAGGAGGCTTGTACGTCAAGAACGGGTGGCTGCCCTACACTGCTAGATGGAATGTTTCAAACGAGACAACTCAGAATGGGTATTTCCATAACTGAATCCAAGACCCAGCACCTTTACCTGGAAGTGCGATTTGTTCCATCCATCCTTCTGCAGGGCATTTCGTAGTTCTTTATAGCTCCAGATCATCTGAAGAACGTGAGATGCTGCTTTTGTTTCTCTGGGAGACTGACTGCTTTGCAAGATAAAATGAGAGCTTAAGTATCAAGCAATGGGAGACTATTCCTCTGCTGACCTCTGCGCCAAAACAATATCCAGGAGATACCTAGTATTCTACGCGGCTATTCTTTGAACCTAGAAGCTACAGGATACATATGAAACCATTCTGTGACTTCTTCATATCTAGAGGTATTTGCTGACAAAACCAAAAAAATCCAGAAGTTGTAAATTGTGCAGACTTCTGGGTTTTCACTTGTAATCCTGGGCAAGCGCCAAGGCCAGGGTGACCCATTCGTCTTGTAGCTGTCATTAATAAAAAAATCAGGTAAGATTCCATCCTGCCTGGATTTATATAGGAAAAAAACCCCTAAGTTCTAAGTCACTTTTCAAACCTTCACCCCATCTTACGTGTATTCCTCACAATTCAATGAAGTTGCTTTACGGTTTAGAGTAACTTCCAAAGCAATTTGAGTCAGGAAAAAATAAGCTATTTTAAACAGAAAAAGCAATTTTATCAATTCCTTACTAAGTCAGTACACAAGCACCCTCTTGGTTAGCTCTTGTATTTCATAACAATGTGACCCAACAAAGTCTTCAGCTGCTCTCCCGAAAGTCTGCTGAACACACACCTCCAGCATCCGACTGGGTGAACTGTACGAAACCAACTTTCCTCTAAAGCAGCCAGAAGTGTTTTTAAGAGAACTGCAGAGTGAAAATTTGTCACTTCACATTACCACCACCAGCCCTTCAGCCAGAACGATTACTGCACATCATTAACTGTTTTACTTCAAGAGATTCCGTCACTGGCATTCCAGGAATGGAATTGCAGCCACAGGAAAAAGGCCTCTCACACTAAAAATAAACATCACTGTTTCACTGCAAATGATGTCTGCTAGATGCATACGTGGTGCTAAGATGTGTCTGACAAGGAGAGAGCATGTCCTGACATGACTGAAGTGACTACTAATTAACTTTTTTTAAATATCAAGTAAACCTATTAAAGGTGCTGTTTCTACTGCACATATATTAATTGCTCGGAAAGGTTAGGATGCTTGAAAGCGTTCACAAAGCAAAAGCTGTTGTTCATAGTGACATTTTCCTGTTTGCAGTGAGTTCTTATCCATTTTGTTTTCAACTATCACTTACCTTGACTTGCTGATAGCTACCAGCTTCTGAATGCCCTGTGTCTGGATCAGAGACCTTGCATTTTCTGAGCTGTCAGTAATGATTTCATGGATGGTATTCAACACCGCAACCACGGTATCCTCTTCCAGGTTCTTTGCAGATCTCTGCTGCCTGCTGGGCAAATTTCTTACCAGCTCACCCATGGCATAACTACCTAGATAAGGGGAAGAGATAGGATTAGCCAGCCCTAATAACAATTTCAGCTTCCCATCCTCAGTGATAAAACTCAGGAGTGCTCACCAGGTCAAAAAATAAAAACTTTATAGCGCATGTGTTTTGAACCTAAAGACTGTAACTTAGCAGCTTATTTATCATTCATTATTTCAAGGTGATTGAGAGTTGATGCCCAAGACAAACTCCTTCATCATGAGCGCTAAAAGGTATTGAGGAAGGGAAAAAAAAGCAACCTTTATTGGGAATTTTACAGCCAGCATCTATCATACTTTGCAACGCCTGAGGGAAAAAGCATCCAGTAGCTGCTGCTAATGCCACATATTCATGCTAATACACGCGCACGGCTTACTCAAAAAGCCTTGTAATAGGCCTTCTGGGGCAAGGTGCGCAGCCATGCATTGATTAACCTTCCCCCAGCAAAGGTAAGAATATCTCCTCCTGGGTGCAGTTGGCCTTCACAATGTGTAGTGCTGGAGGAAAAAAACCAGGGAGTCAGGAGTTTATCACTTCCAGATGTCTGTCTGTACCATTTGCCTGGCTACACCTCTGAACTATTAAAAACAGAACCTGACGTATTAAGGCAGAATCCCCCCCTGCCATTTGTTAGTATCAGATTGGATGACAGCTCTAAACATGTGACCAGTATTTCCTGGCCTGACGAGGCTGTATTTTAAACAAATATATCACTTCAATACAGAGGCATCCAGAGGAAAACTCAACGTACAGCTGAACTTCCAAGTGAATGATTATTTACCCCCTCGGACAGGAGCTAGCGAGCCCCGCTGAAGAACTAAGCTAAAGATGAGTCAGTTGTCTGGTGTCCAGCTTCTACAAGTGACTAGCACAGAAAAGGATGAGAAGGGAGGAGGAAGTGAAAACACAGGGATAACTTGAGAGCCCACTTCAGCTCAGCATGCCAAGGGTAAGACCCCCACTGATCCAAACAGCAGACCTAAGGAGCAACATGTCTGCAACCACCGTGTGCGAGCAGGAGCACCCGTGCCCTGTCAGCCAGGGCTAAGGAAGAGGCAAGAACACTCTTCACCCACCCAGTGCTCTGCACACCTACGCACACTCCCCTCTCCTGCAAAGCCCTACATCTGGTTTTACTCCTGGGTTAGAGATTTCCCTCAACTGATGGCTGTTTTGAACGGGCTGGAAATACATCCCGAGGTGACAGCCCTCCAGCCTGGTGGTGACAGGGCAACCTTACACAGTGTGGATGGAACTGCACACAAAAAGGAATCCCCAGCACAAGTGACAGCAAATGTGAGGTCTCCCAAGGGTATCCAAGATCCCAGCCTGGTTAGAAAGTTCAGAAGATACCTATAAGATCTTTATTGCGACGATCCATGGAAAGGTTTCTCAGGGCAATTGACACAGCCCTCACAACCTTGTCAGAGTCGGACTGGAGCAGCTCCACAAGCACCGGTAAGCCTCTCTCCTTCCGCACTGTTGCACGGATGTACGTGGACCACTGATCAGAACACAGAAGGGAAAAGAAACAACACGAAGTACTGTGAGTTCACATACCTGCCCTGTCCTTGCCCCTGGCATTTCTTTCAGCGCTGTGATTAATTTTTTTTCCCTGCAAAGACTAGTTAGGTTGGGTGTGCTGATGCAGCTCTAACTTAACCCATCATTCAAGTTCATCAAGCACCAAGGAAGAAAGGGTGTAGAAGTTCATCCTAGCTTAGCTTAGCAAGGTGCTGGGGAAAGAGAACAGAAATAGAAGGATGGAGCATCACCTACCAGCATCTGTTCTGTACACACCTCTGTGTGAAAACACATCCCTCTGGATTAGGAAAAAGAGGTCATTTTGAGGGAGCAGTAAAGCATCCAAAGCATCTGTTGTCCTCCCCCACCTCCAACTTCATGCTTTTATTCAGTTTCATGACAAATTTTAAAATAAACTGCACTCAAGGCAGCTGTGAAACACCACCCTGCTGATCTCCAGCTGCTGATCAGTCCCACTTCACCATGCACTTCCAGAAGTGATGAGGCGCACCTTTGACAGAACTGCCTGCTTAGTGCTCGGGGTGCTTCAGAGAAGGTATCAGAGGACAATCTGGAGTGCAGTTTCCTGAGCAATCTGACAATCAATGAATTAAGTATCCAGGACATTTAAACACCTAACAACAGGCTTTCCTGAATGGACAAAGCAATGGCTAAGTGGTTTAAGCAGTAAAACCTGCTCATGGTTAAATAGTCACGAGCTCAGTGACACTTCCACTATGTAAACACCATCTGTCCAGAAGCTGCGAAACATCTTAAGTGGGCAAATAAGAGAGAAACAATTTCTGTGGAGTTCCCACCTCCTTCCTTTTTAAAGGAGATGTAAATGCACAAAGTGACAGCACACTTATAATGGGACACAGCTTTGTTCTTTACTTACACAAAGGAAACGAAAAAGGCTAGAGAGAAGGCTGCACTCACCATCCAGTTACCAGCACTGAGGTTCTGCAATGCCCCTGCTGCAGCTTCCAGAGTGTTGAAGTTCTGACTTTCGGTGAGGATGGAGAGGTACAGTCGGACCACATCTGGCTGGTACAGTAATTCAAAGCCTGCAGGTGGAGGAAGAGGAGAATAGAAGCAAGAGAAGGCAATGCATGAATAAACTTGTAACACACCTTCAGCTAATCACATATGAGAACAGTCAAGAGAAAGCTATGCCACAGAAAGAAGGGCTTTTGCCACACCCACATTTTATCCACAGTTGTTGAAAACGGTGCACACAGAAACTTGTGCTGAGGACATTCACTTGGGCTGCAAGTCCCCTTTGCTTGTCTTCAGGTTGTCAATTCTTTCTGAAATCTGTACTACGCTATATCCTGCCTAGCAGGATGAGGATACGTGTGGAATAACTAGGGGACAAGAGACAATTTTTGTCTGCAACAGTTCTTACTTTGCATCTCTAGATGGGGTTGCAAATTCCCCTTGCACTCCAGTGTCCAGTTAAATCTAGCCCGGTACCTTTACAGACACAACAGGGGCAAAGAGAGCAAGCTACAAACCTGTATCAGCCACACACCTCGGTGACAAAAGGAAGGTGCAAGATGGCAAAATGACCAGAATGCCCAGTCGGCAGGGGCAGGGAGAAACGCTGACTCCCGTTCCAGTATCGGGTAAAGAAATACCCCAGCACCGTACCGCACTGGGAGACTGCGACAGACACATACGTTAACTAATATCCCCAGAGTGCCTGTATCAGCTTTGCAGTTTGAGCACGACAGGAACGAGAACTATTCCCAGCTCTGCCACGGATGTGCTCTGGCGATGCTGAGAACTGAGAGTAGCATCCTGTCTTCACTTCCTCATCCATAGGATTAGGATTTATCCATCTACCCACATTAAAAAGGGGGTCTTAGGCAAGAACTCCACCACTCCAAGTTATTACATATTTTGAAGCAATTTTTATCTATCCTTCTTCACAAAGCATGGCATGACACACTGCGTCACTGCGGGAAGACTATGCAGGCATCCAGTTAAAGGACCTGCTAGACAAACCCAGTCTCAAAGATCACGGTGCTGTTCAGATTATGTGAACAAAATCCTAAATCCGCTGAAGCGCTTTGGTGAGCGTAGGAAGGCGCAAGCAACCTGTGGTCAGCAGACTCATCTGCAGCCACTGCAACCAGAAGATATTTCTTGGTTGGTGACTTTTAGGGTGTTTTCATTTTTTTACCTAGGAAAGGCTTTCTGGAAAAACATGACATGAAAGAAAGCATATAGGTGTGAACGACCTTGGCAAAAAGGAAGTTTGAAGCTTTTTTTGCGCAGAATGGGGTTTTTTTATTTGTACACATGAAAAGAATGTTTTTCGCATAACAAGATGCTGTCCTAGAAGTGTAGCATAATAATTCAAAGCAAGTTTTCCACCAGCAAGACAGGAAATCTACAAACACAAATCACTCCCTCTTCAGTACTTTCTCTTCAAAATCACCCATCTCTCATATACATATTTCTCAGCACATATCACAGATTATCGTATTTCAGGTGTCTCAGATCAAACCTAGAAGCAAGAAAACGGAACAGTGCTAGTCTATCAAGTGGATATCCTGTACTTTTTTCCTTTTAAAATTCTGTAGCTAAAGGCTTTTTGAAATTAAAGCCTTACTTTTCAAATTAACTGTTTCTCTGTATTTTTCACACCAGTTATTGCTGTGGGACTATAGGAGTCAAGATCTCAGAACTCAATACTTGAAATCTTGTACAACGCTACCCGTAAACACAGGCCATGTCAACCCCCTGGACATACAGCGGGTTATTTGTCTAACTGACGGCAAGAAAACACACTTCTTCAGCCAAGGGCTGCTTTGCTCCATACCAAAAAAAACCTGATTGATGCACGAGGATCCATGAGCCAGCACACGGGAGCTCATGCACTTTTTCCCTGCTCAGCTTCCCACACACACCCCAGCACGCCCGCATTCTTCTCCAATGTCTGGGTAGTTAACCTGCTCACGCCTGCGCCTGGTTTAATGCCACCACTTGCTCGCTACATGACACCCTACAGCTATGTGCAAGCCACAACAGATGGCAATCCCCAAAGGCATCCTGCCAATCCATACCACTTACTTTCCTCTTCTCCGGTGTCCTCTCCTTGCGTTGGGATCATTGCCCTCTATACTGAATGCTGAGAAAAACTGTAGTTACTCAATACGTGAAGCATGAAGAGCTGTATAGCTTCCCTCCATTCCCTGAATAAGTTTGTGATTATCTGTCTCCAACATGACCTTCAGATCACCTTTTTCTCTGCCACTTCACAAGGTGAATTGGCAATCTCAGAACTCCTCAAGAAAAAACACCACTGCCTGGTAAGTGTGCAGTATTCCGTTCCTGAACACTAATACTTCAAAAATCTCTACAGCTTACTGGAATTTTGTCACCGTTACCTTTTAAGGAAGCTTTGCTGAAATGTAAAACAGACTGAAGAAGGGCTGAAGGCAGGTTCACTAACAGACACTATTCACGCACCACATTTACGGCTCGGACTTGCCTGTGGCTAAGGGGTACGCAATCCTCCAGCCGGTCTTCTCTGATGGCTTTGTTTCAAAGTGCCCAGGCACAGTGTCAGCAGCACACTTGGAGACAGCCCCACACGTCCACCCCCTCCTGTATTATTATCCTCTTTGGCTGGACACTCTTACCTCTCTGCAGCACCTCACCGTGTATGAATACTAAGGTGCAACAACCCTCTCGCCTCCGCTTACCTCCTGTGGACAGAGCTGCATTCCGGTCACGCACCTCCCACCCTCTTTCTGTCATTACTGCTCCTCATGCATGAAAGCCTCTCCTTTTTCCTGCTTACTAAAGTAAGAGCATCTCAAAAAAAGTCTTCACCTTCAAAAATTCATGGCGTTTCCCCTACCAATTATCAGCACATTTCTGTTTTGGGGCACAACCTCACCGCCAGCCTGGTGGATGCTTCCCCCTCGCTCCACACATCCCCGCTTCCCAACTACACGTACACCTCTGCCCCAGCAGCCGTTGGGAACAGAGGGCAGGAGTGCTGTGCAGCAGACATGGAACTGCCCTCCCTCCCCTCGGCAGCCGCACGCTTCCCGCTCCGCAGCACTCGTGTGTCAGCCTGGCTGCGCCAGAAGAAGGCAGGCGGGAGCCGCTCAGAACACGTATTATGAATGCCCCTCATGGATGGCTGCTCATTAGCACAGATGAGAACCTGAGAGTGAGACAGTTACTGCTGCACCGGAGGGTTTTTCCCTCATTGACAGCAAGCTGACACTTTTCATAAGTGTTATAGTCCCTTAAAAAGAAACAAACAAGTTTTATATTTTCTCCATCTGCCTCCTGTCCTAATGAATCCAGCTCTGCTATTTATAGGATGCAATTTGTCTGAATTATTATGAATTTCCTTCCAGTGCTGTGTGGAGGCCTTGCACATTTTCCCATGAAGCGCTTCAAGCACGTTCCTGGGAAGCACAGCTGGTATCACCTCCATTAAGCACCTGCTTCTCTTCAAAACTGATTTCCTTAATTTCAAGATCATCTTAATTATTTTTTCAGGTAATGCTACTTTTGTGCAATATACGGCTAATTGCTTATATCCATTTTTTTAAATGGAAATGAGAAAAGATGGTCATTAGTGATAGGCAATACATCAAACGAGAAAAACATCCACTGTTTTTCTTTTTCTTTAAAAAGCTGTTGTAATTATAGCCCAGATTCAGCACTGCACTTAAAAAGACAATTTCTCCCAGAATAAATGAGACTTTTCCATTGGTTACGGATTTGTGCTGAGTTGCAATCTACACTGGTTCCTCCTGGAAATGCATGAGGATAACTCAGTTATTGCTTTTTTTTTTTCACTGCAGAAAGCAAAGTAAACAAGTTCACTGTATTAGCTTTTGCCTCCTGCGAAACAGAAGATGCCTTGGATGCTGACGTCTTTGTGAGTGTCAGACGTTTTACAGCATGTAAGCACAACCCCAGCTGATGGCATGAATGTGGACTGAAAGGAAGAGCTTCCACATCAGACTCAACTTTGCCACCACGCAGTAGGCTCATCTTTCTGAAAAGAGGAAGATGAGCTTCTTTGCAGCAGAGTTGCTCCAAACTGGCCAATGGATTAGTTCCGTGTGAAGTTCATGCTACCAGGAGGTGCCCAGGGGATCAGCCTTTACTTGCCCACAGAACAGTGACAGCACTGACAGCAATTTCTGTCTTGAATGGAAAACACCTGAGGAATTAACTGAGGGTGATTGGCCATCTCCATCCGTTTAACCCTCAGCCCCTGTGCTGAGAATGATGCAGCAGTTCCTGGATTATCTCCTCCACAAACCTATTTGCTTTCATCTTGGCAATGTTGAGCCTGTGCCTATACTTAGTACATACTGGCAATAACACAAAATACTGCACCAGGTGCCTATCTCTGATACGCCAGCTTAATCCCAAAGTCAGACAACTCTCTGGAGCAAGGCTGCCAAATCTATTCCCCTTCACCACCCATCCCATTTAGGATTTATTCTCCCCCTACAGGCATGGGAAATTCTACGCATGTGGATACTGGTCTCATGAGAGCTCTCCTACTGCTGCAGCAGCAATGTGCTCCTTCGTCTTCTACCCCTACCAAAACGCTGGGTTGCTGTTTAAAGAGAGGCAAATGTCATGAGAAGCTGGAAGGATGCTGGCAACATTGTAGGAAAATAATTTAAAAAAAAAAAAAAAAATCAAGGAACTCTTAACCCTAGGAAAAACAGAAGATCACTAGAGCTACTCATTGCGGCAGCATCCACAGGCTGGTGTACACCAGTGTTTTGATTCAGACCCCTTTTGAAGCCAACTTCCCACTTCCTGCGCTTTGCTTCCCAACACAGAGAAGTTGTAGCACCGCCCTTTCGGGATGACACTGAACCCCGTGACACACTCACAGAGCACACGGAAGGTGTGCTGACCAGGGATGGAGGGTCAATGGCTGACAGCGCTGGCCACAGCCCAGGCAAGCTGGGACTGCCACCGGCAGGAGGAGCGAGAGGAGCCCGGACGGTCACTGCTCCCAAGGTCACGCACAGACACACAGCGCAGAACAAGCACACAGCTCCCT